TTACTGCACTCCAGTCTGGGCGACAATCAGACTCTAACTCAAAAAACAAACAAACAAAAAAATTACATTTAATAAAGTAGATTTCAAATAAACAGCCTAATGATACACTTCAAGATATTACAAACGAACAAACCAAACCCAAAATTAGTAGACGAAAATAAATAATGAATATCAGAGCAGAAATCAACAAAATTGAGACAAAAATACAAAAGAATAATGAAAAAAATTGTTTCTGAAAATAAACAAAATTAACAAACCATTAGCTAGGTCAACTAAGAAAAAGAGGCCTCAAATTTTAAAAAAATCATAAATAAAAGCAGATACATTTAACATACTATAATTTATATCACAGAAATATAAAAGGTGATTATTATGAACAAATATATGTTAATAAACTAGGAAACCAAGAGGAAAATGATAAATTCTAAACATGTACAACTTACCAAGATTGAACCAAGAGAAACAGAAAACCAGAACAGAAAACCAGTCTGGGCGACAGAGTGAGACTCCAACTCAAAAAAAAAAAAAAATAATAATAATAATTAAAGAATATATAAATAAATGCTGGTGTATACCATGATTATGGATTAGAAGACTCAATACTGTGAAGGCTTTTTTGAAGAAATTGACAAGCTGATTCTAAAATTGATATGGAAACGCAGTGGGTCAATAATAGTGAAGACTGTCTTGAAGAAGATAAAATTAGAAGATTTCCATCAGAGATCAAGACTTATCATAAAGCTATAGGAAATATTGTATTTATAGGAAAGAAATGTGATATTAGCACAAACAAGTAATGTGATTGAATGAGTAATAAAAAAGAACAAACAACAACAAAAAGTCTGGGAACAGATGGCTTCTGTGCTGAATTCAACCAAATATTTATAGAGGAGCTAATACCAATTTTTCTCAAACTATCCAAAAAATTAAGTAGAAGAAATTTTTCCAAACTTATTCTATGAGGCAAGCAAGTGGACAAGAACACAGCAAAAAAGAAAGCTACAGACCAATATCTCTGATGAATATAGATGCAAAAATGTCAAAAAACTACTCACAAACCAAATAAATTTTAAAAAAGCAACCTTATTGGCAATAGCTACAGAAATAAATTAAGTACTTTTTAGTAAATTTAACCAAAGAGGTAAAAGATCTCTTTAAGGGAAATTATAAAATTCTGATAAAAGAAATTGAAGAGAACACACACAAGAGGAAAGATAGCCCATGTTTGTGGATTGGAAGAATTAATACTTCCATTTGGGGCAAAATAGGTGAGTCAGGAGGACATTATGTTAAGTGAAATAAGGCAAGCACTAAAAGAAAATACCCCGTGTTCTCACTCACTCTATGAATCTAAAAAAGTTGCTCTCATAGAAGTAGAATAGTGATTATTAGAGATTAAGAAGGCGGGGGGCGGGGAGAGAAATAGTTAACACAAAATTACAGCTGAATAGGAGAAATCAGTTTTAGTGACCTATAGCACTATAGAGTGACTATAGTTGACAACAACTTATTACATGCTTTTAAATAGGTACAAGAGAGGTTTGTGAATGTTCCCAACACAAAGAAATGATAAATGTTTGAGGTGATGAATTTGCTCACTACCCTGATTTGATCATTCCACCTTGAACACATATATCAAATATCACACTGTACTCTATAAATATGTATAATTATTATGTCAATTAAAAATAATAATACATTTTAATTGTTATTTAATTTAATACTTATTTTTAAAAATAAAATGCTAAAATGTCATTCATTCTAGCATCCTTAAACAAGAAATTCTTAGTAATAAATCATAACAAGGATGTGCAAGGCCTCTACAAAGAAATCTACAAAACATTACTTAAAGAATTAAAGAAGCCGGGCTCGGTGGCTCAGCCTGTAATCCCATGCCTTTGGGAGGCTGAGGTGAGTGGATTGCCTGAGCCCGCGGGTTCAAGACCCGCCTGGGCAGCGAGACCTCATCTTTACAATAAATTTAAAAAT